GGGAAAGAGAATAACCAAGGAAAATATACTTCATGGCATAAGGAAATAGTTTTTCTCATCAAGATGAAAGTACATGACGAAATGAACAACAACAACAACAACAACAACAACAAACCTTTATCCAAAGTGGGGTTGCTACATGAATCCATTTTCTCCATTGTGTCCTATTGAGTGTCATATTTTCATTTAATGCTAATAGATTAAGATCATTTTTATACAATATGCCCAAATCTTTTAGGGCTTCCTCTTCCTTTCTTAATAATAATCGAATCTAAAACATCTACTATTTTAACAGTATATTAGATGGTCGACGTTTAATGTGACCAAACTGTCTAAGAAGACTCTCTAATCTTGTCCACCACTGAAGCTGCACCAAGCCTATCATAGATATATTCAGTTCGCCTTTTGTATCTATGTGGCATGCCACTCATCCACCTAAACATTCTCATCTCAAGAACACCTAACTCTATTCTATGCTTATCTTTTAAAGGCCAACATTCTGCGACATAGACCATTGCAGGTTTTTCCGCCATCTCATAAAATTTTCATAAGTTTAAACAGTACTTTTCTATCACACAATAAGCCCTGCATTTCTCCACTTCAACCAACCAATTTGAATTCTACCAATAACATCCTCATCTATATCACCATCACTTTAAACGATAGACTTGAGATATTTACAATGTTCACAACATTTAATAATTTGATCACCCATAGTTACAACTCCGCCACTAGAGCTACTACTACTAAAATTACATTCCATGTATTCAATTTTAAATTTATTCAAACAAAGGCCTTTAGACTCCAAGACAAAATTCAAGAATAAGAAGAGTCAAAAGGAAAATAGAATTTAATGGTGAAGAAGGAAAATAAAAAGAGTAGCTTCAATCAAAGCAATGGAAGACATGTTACTAATTAAGAAACAGGCTGTTAAAATGGCATCTCCCAAAAACTTTTGTGGAATTTCATATAAAACATTAAAGCACAAGTAAAATCAAGAAGATATCACTACTTGCATTCAATTACATTGCTTTTTTAAGAATTATAAGAGTGGGATAACTAATGAGATAACACGACAGAAATTATAAAAATATTTGATATATTCCAAAGCATTACCGTCAAAAGAATTTCAAGGGATGAAAAATTTGAAATTGTATTTTCTTGATAATTGAATACAACAAACATTTCATACCAGCACTTATACAAGTACACCCAAGTAAACTTGATTTAGTCATGAACACAAAAAAAAAATCAAATAAGTTGACACAAAACTTGGACCCTATGAGAGATTGTTGACACAATTAAAGGGATGAAATAATCAAAGGCATCAAATTGAATTTAGAAAATGAGAGGAAAGACGAGTGAAGCCATGAAGATGTTGAAGATGCTAAAGATGAAGGGTGACAAGGGTGACCAAGATGATAATGCCAATGGTAAGAATAATTATAAAGAAGTGAGCAATCAATGTAGCATCATAGTAGGCCTACCACCAATTAAGTATTTGTATTGAGGTCTGGTAAGATAATTTATAGACACAAATTTTAGGAAAGCATAAAACTTTAACATGTTATTTAAATTTAATGAGAGATAAAGAGATCACTTTCCATATTCAGCAGAAAATGATCCATCATCAATGATGTCAGAAGGGAGAGTTTGAGCATGAGGGGAAAATGATTATTGGTTATCTATCATATGAAAAACATCAAAATCTAAGACCCAAGACATGCCAGAATTAGCCATTACGATAGAATCAGAGATGAAAACATCATTAAAGTCAATGAAAGTCAGCTAAGAAAGTTATAATAGACGATGTTTTTTTTAATTTTTTTATGAATAGAGAAAGTTCAAGCATGTCAATGCTATTTATAAGGGGAAATAAAGGATGAGAGAGTAACCATTGTAGCATAGTTTTTCTAGCTTCAAGGCTATTACCAAACGTGTTCTTTGTTTTGAGATCCTAAAAAATACATAGGGAAGGAGAAGAAGTTATCAAGCAGTCATGGAATTTGGTAAGACATTTTATTGATAACAAGTTCTCATGAAAGTTAAAAAAGATATCTGATGTAAAGTTAATGAGGAAAGAAGAATAGATCCTTTCCCATAAACAAAAGAAAGAGATCCATCACCAATGAAGATAGAATAGTGAGTTTGCATGGTTAAAGATGAGAACTATAGTGAGGTTCCTGTCCTGTGAGAAATAGCATTAAAATCTAAGCTTAAAATGTAGCAAAGTGAACAAGTACAAACTAATTTTAGGTAAAGAAAGAAACATCAAAATTGATTTGGTTGCCACATTTTAACTGTTTGTGGCTGAGCTTACTGCATGGAATTTCAATATGGCTTACTGCATAATGGGGTCGACATGTAAGTATTGTTTCATGAAGAAATAAAGGGAAGGAGAGGTTTTCTTTGCTGCAATAAACAAAGGAATCTGGAATCCTGTTTTGCTGCACATTTCTGGATCAAATGAAGTTACAAGGGTTAATTGATGCTATTGTTTGGGTTTATGGAGGTGGTGAATATGGAATACAGGTTTGTAGAGAAAAAAAAAGCCATGAATGAGAGTAAAAAAGAAAAAAAATTCCAACTTGAGAAGAGAAGGGATGGAAACAAAATTAGAGATAGAAGGGAGAGAAGCAATCGTTCCCTGCTATAGGAAGCAGTGATTTGCACCAACTATTCAATAATCAATCGTGAAGAAACTATCACCTGATTATAGAATAAGATCCACATTAACTAATTATCCAAAAATCCATTAAAACACAAACATTGTCCATAGTAACCAAGATATAAATAAGGATCTTCAAAAGTAAGTTGCTATGCAGTTGTATGATGTAAAAAAAAAAAAAAAATTGACAAAAATAACTAGAAAAAGTGATGCAACCATTGATAAAATTCAAGCCAAGCCCAAGTCCTATAACATATTGATGCCACACCATGAAGCTTCATTTGCCGTGACTTCTCATGTTTTACTTTTCAAAAGTATTTTTGATACATACGAAAATTTTTCTATGGAAATCTATATCATATATGTGCAATGGTTCGCTGCTATTGGAAGCAGTGATTTGCATTCCAACTGTTCAATAATCAATCATGAAGAAACTATCACCTAATTATAAAATAAGATCTACATTAACTAATTATCCAAAAATCCATAAAAACGTAAACAATGTCCATAGTAACCATGACATAAATAAGGATCTTCAAAACAAACAGAGACACTTTTGTGATATAAAAAGAGAAAACAATAACAAAAATAACAAGAGAAAGTGATGCAACCATCGATAAAATTCAAGCCAAGCCCAAGTCCTATAACATATTGATGCCACACCATGACGCTTCATTTGTTATAACTTCTCATGCTTTACTTTTCAATAGTAATTTTGTTACATACAAAAATTTTGCTATGGAAGTTCCTATCATATATGTGCACCCTCTGTACTACTACCAGACACTTCAATAGTATAGACCTAATAAACGAGCGGGTGATCTTATGGCTAAAAAAACAGGCCAGAATTTACCCAACATTTCTCTAAACAATTAATGCAAGTTCCAAGCAAGAATGTACATGGTTTGCAGTTTGCACCAACAAAATTGTGCCAAAGTACTATGTGGATAGACAATAAAGGCTTTAACTCTAGTAATAGCCCTATATATGCATGGAGAAAATTCATTTATTCATTTATGGCAACACAAAAAAAGTTTATAGCTAGATTTCCTCTTGAAGAGTGATGTTCCGAGTTGAGACAACAAATCAGGCTTTAACTACATTATTTTGTAACATCAAGCATCTCTCCTATGATATTTATACATCTTGGAAACATAATCAAAAATTATATTTGACATATTGTTAACAAAACCATAGTTGGAAGAATTTGCTTGCACTTTCTACAAGTTAATTCCTGGAACCAACATCGCAAAAAACTACCCAAAAGACCATTAAAGCAAATTAATAAAAACTTCAATCTGAGCTTTGTCTTGCAATGTTGTGTTATTGCTGTGCTGTGATATTTGGTAAAAAACACGATGCCACTGCTCTCATAGATGAACAAATTACTTTGCAAGTATGTTAAATAAATTGTTTTGCAAATTATTGTCCATGGACTAGATGCAACTAGTATAGCACTTCATGGCACATTCCTTGCAATATAAAATCTTAATGAGTCAAAGGTTTAAAAGGTAAAGAGTTGAAAAGCATTGCCAAAAGATGGAAGCCCCTTAAGACGAATGAAGCTAAGCTCTTCGACAACAAGGAGACTTTTGATGTAACAATAGAATTTTGATAGAAACTCCAAAGTTAAGTGTGCTCCTGTGAGAGAACTGTTGGGAAGGGTGACCTCCTGAGAAGTTACACTATCGGAGTAAAACTGTGAGGTTATTCAATATGGACAGTATTTCGATGGATGAGAGTTTAAGTTCTTACAAATGGTATAAGAGCATTACACCAGCCGAAAGATGAGAACTAGGTGTCATACATAACAAAGTGATGAGCCATTGGAGCCACCTCTTGAATCTAAGATGTGATAAAATACTAAATGTTGGGAGTCATCTCTTGAATCTGTATGGGCAATTCTATCTGTCTGATGGATGGTTTTGAGCTATGGAAACTGACGGGGATGCCCGTTACTTAAGTATGAGAGTTTGTGAAGGCTCTTAAGAAGAATGAAGCAAAACTCTTTAAGCATTGAGACGCCATTTGGTGTAACGGTAGAATTTCGACAAAAAACTCCAAAGCTAAGCATCACGTGTGAGCACTCCTGGGCTGGGTGACTTCTTGGGAGTTTTGCGAAAAAATAAGTTAACATTTCAACGCTCAACATTGTCATGGAGAGGCGCAATGGACAAGTTAATATTATACATTGACTTATCATTAAAAAAAAAAAAAAAAAACTAAGCATTCATTGCTCTACACCCTACAGAATTTCAAATTGGAAGATTTTTGAATTAGCAAGAAAATTATTCTTAGTGGTGAATCCAGCTCAGAAAAAGTTAACTTTTTTACAAAAAAAAAAAAAAAGATTTCCATACATACCACTTAATTCCTACGTATTTACATATCTAACATCTAAACTCCAATTTTCACACATAAGTTACCATACATATGCATGAAAAGGTGTATTCTATTTTCTAAAAATTAAAATAGGGATATTTTTTTTGGTGGTATAAATGTGAAAAGTAAAGTTTAGGTGTTAAATGTAAATACATAAGAATTGGGTGGTATGTACGTAAATGCATTTGCTAACCATTCAAGCACATACGACAAGTTTTTGAAGAGAAAACGGTACAGGAATGCAATAATAAATGAAGCTTTAGTAAGCTATAAATATAATTTCCAAATACTAACCTCAAACTGCTCAAAGGAACGGTAAGCACCTCTGCCCAGCTTTTTTCTTACAGTCCCAAAATCCATTGGATGCTCAATGACATCATGGTAATCCGGAAGCTGCAGGATAAACATAGATAATATAACTAGCAAGCAATCAAAGATCAAAATTTCTAACTCTATAGCTCATAAATTTCCTAATTTAATCCAAAAAAAGCTTCAAAAGGATTAAATACCTCTTCGGGATCTACAGGCTCTGCGAATGCATTATATGTATCCTTCCTGCCACATTGCACAAGCAAAAGAGAATCAAAACTCAGCAGTTAAGCGAGCCCAGCTGAAGAATGATCGAAAAGTAAGAAGAGGATAAGTGAAGTGCGCGCACTTTTGGAGCTTATGTAAAATCAACTCCAGTTCCTTCTTCTCCGGCATTAGAGTTCCGCTCCACGAAGATGACAACTTATCTGCAGAACAACAAATTACTCTATTGGTTACAATTAAAGAGTTAATCCGATGTTTCCTCCAAGGGAACTTTTCCATCCCAAAGGTTAACCCTAAACCAAACGAAAATAGCGGGAAAAGCTCACCAGAACCAACGCCTGAAAATCTTCTAAATGCATTTTTCTTGCTATCCTGTTGGGAAAAATAAGCTGGGAATCAGAATCATCAACAACTGAAGTTGAATCAAACTGAACCAGTAGAATACTTTCTATTATTCTATAAGCGCTTCCTGTTGTGCACAGGAAGCTGCTCGTGAGCAAACAAATAGCATGTTACTCATCCTTGTGTAAGATGGAATTAACTTTATATACCTCATGATAACCGGATCTACTCACTGCGACGGTAGCAGCATCACCGCAGCGGTCGATCCGCCGCTTTTTCGGGGGCTTGAAGGTCTCCACTTCGTCATCTCCGTTCTCCCCAAGATCATCCTCGTCTACATAAGACGAAGACGAGGATGCAGCCGGAGAGGGTGAAGGGGAGGACGATGACGATGAAGCAGTAGAGACCGCCGCCGTCCGACAAGGCCGGCCGGCTGGAGAACGAGGGAGCTTAACTACCAAGCGCAGCTTCTTCAGGCCGCGCTCCTCCTCTTCTTCCTCCTCATGGTTAAACTCGTAGCTCGTAGGCAGCTTCCTCGGAGAGCTGCCGCCGCCTCCGGGGGCGGAGACTCCGGCGGCGGCGAATCTCAGGCGGCGGTGGGGGCGGGGCGGCAGCTGACGTAAAAGAGGTGGATCGGGTCGAGGAGGGCGGCCATGGTGCTTGTTCCCTAGACGAATCTTGGTCGCCGCCGGCTTCGCCATCATTATCTCTCTTCTGGGCTCACTCTTCTCTCTCTTACAAGCTTGCTTACTTTTTCTCTCTCTGACTTTCTCTCTCCTCTATCTTCCAGCTTTAGCTGCCCTTTTCTTAATTTCTTTATTGGTGGTTTATTATTTAACAGAGGAAAAGTTGAAAAAGGATGAAAGAAGAAAGGAAATTGAGGAGAGGACGAAGAAGGTGCCGAAAGCAGGTGGGGTAGTCGACTCGGTGTTTAATTACATGTTTGCCACTACGGCTGCGTAGACGGTCCGTTGATTCGGTCTGAGGACGAGCAAATTATTAGGCCCAGGGGCCAGGGGAGTAAAAATTTTTCTGTGCGGGCTATTGATGTAATTTTATGTGCGGCGCAGGTTAATTCTGAGTTATTTTCAGGTTATTTGGGAGTTATTTTCAATAATCTCGAAATAACTCAGAAATAACTCACTGTTTTTATTTTTGAGTTATTTCTTGGTTATTTCGGGATTAGTGAATGTAGATGTACGTCAGACATTTGGAGAGAAAATGTGTGTCAGGGAGAGAAAAATGTTAAAAAATGTAGATTAAACGAGTGTATATTGGTGTGCATTGGATATATGTTAGGGTGTATTTAAGATGTATTCATATGAATATACTCTTAATACATTTTAAAATATATCCAATAAGTAAGTATATTATTTACCTGTAATATTTCTAATAGAGAATTATTCACGATTGAAATCTATTGATCAAAGTCCTAAATAAATTGATCCAAGTCGAATAGAATTGTGTTCAAATTTATTAATAAAATTCAAATTCGAGTTGAGCGCGAGCATAAATTGAGCTTTTGTGTTTATGCTCAAGTTCCACTTATTTATTACTCTGATTATTTTAGCTCAGTTCATATTCATTTAATTTGATAAGTCATTACGAAGAAATTGACAAGTTGTATTTAAGCCACTTGATTTTTAACTAGGCGGTCTTTATCAAATAAAGTAAAATTAGTTTTGTTGCTTGCCGAAAAATTTGTGATAGTAGAATGATAATTTAACTTCTCAGCATTCTGCGAAAATCCAACACACACATAGAAATAAGAAATATGGCGGGAGAAGACAACGCGACATTTTATGTGAAAAGTTTCTGAAAAGAGAAAGCCACGAGACCCCTAGTCAAAGTAATCTACTATGTAATTATGCGTATATAGACCCACCTTCTCCTGAATCAGGGAATATGAAATTACAAAGTTGGAAATTACAATTTTATAATATTGTTTTCTAGCTTCAATAATCATAATTTGGCTATGATAAATGTCTTTTCGATCATAGCGAAAGCGGGCCTTAAAGGTTGTAGTTAGTTGCTACAATAAATTCAGTTGATTATAGAGGTTGTAGTTAGAGACAACAATAATGTGAGTTGGTTAAATAAGCCGTAGTTTGAAGTTGTGGTAGGAACTGAGCACATAAGCCATAGTTGCTCACATAGGCCGTAATTAGAGGTTATAGTAGAAACTAATCATATAGGGTGTAGCTGGTCACATAGGCTATAATTGACCAAATAGCTCGTAGTTGGCACTTGTAGTAGGAACTAACCACATAAATCGTAGTTGTCCATATAAGTTATAATTGGTCACATAGGTCATAATTAGAGGTGGTCATAGAAACTGACCATATAGGCCACATAATGGGAGGCAGCAGCAACAGTAGTTAGCCCGTATGCATAATTGATAGTTATAGTAGTAACTGATCATATAAGCTTTAGTGGGTGGCTGAAAGAGTTAGTAGAAGGCTGTAATGACATTAATCATTCATGCAGGTTGTAGTTGGTAGATCCCGTAATAACTAGTTACATAAGTTGTAGTGGGATGTTGCAAGTTCGTCAGTTGGCTACAAAGGCTATAGTGGAAAGTTATATTAACAATAGTTAGCTAAGTATATCATAGTGGGTAGCTGGAAGAGTGTCAGTTGGTCATGAAGGCTGGAAAGCTATAATGATATGGTGATTGTTATTAAAAATTTTATTTTATATATGTTATATTAATCTTATTTTATGATAGTTTTATATTTTTGGAATGTGTTTGTGGTGGGATTACAGATTTCATTTAAGGTTGATGGGATTTTAAGAATGGAAAATTGTACTAAGGGAGTAGTGTATAAGAGCCAACATAAGGGTTCTTGGGCTTCGGATCTCCACCTTCATGCCAACAAAAATTGTGACGCCGGAAAGTTGGCACCCACCCATGGCATCTAGGCACCATCATTCAAAGCCTAGGAACTATGAACGGATGCCTAGGCGATTGACCCGGCTTGCAATTACGCAATTATTTAAGTTCAGAAATATGACCAAAAGCTTGACCCATTTTATATTTAGCGACTAGTGTGAAAAATTAAATATTATATAAAGATGATAAAAATGATAAAAACAGTTTGCACATTAGGGGTACTACGTAAGTATACTTATCTTTTCAAGTAATATAGAATTTTCCTTAAAATCCTTAGTATTGATCCCACAGAGATAGCCAAAACTTTTTTAAAATTGACTTTAATAAAAACCTACTTTTAAATTGTAGAAAACTTATATAGTAAATGATTGCAAGTTTTTGTGTAATATCTAATGCTATAGGATTAAAGGAATGTTAAGTATGCAAAGCAAATACAACATGTAAATGTAAGGCAATCTAAAAAGGTTTTAAAATGCAAAGTTACCACTACTCTAAACTAATAATGTATGAAGAGTTCAAATTTGTATAAAACATCCTTCCCCTTTCAATGAGTTTATAATTAGTGTAGGAAAATAATTTTAAAATATAACTAAGGTCTTGTGCCAAATAGGAGAGGAGCAATTCTTTTCTTTACCCTCTGTTAAGTGCATAAAGAATATTGGTTAATCCAGAGTTTGGTCTCTAAAACTGTGGTCAGAATGGGAAGATACTAGCTCTCACTCTAGAGTTCCAACTTCCCCTCACCTGTGGGCTAACATCTCGCTTTAGTTTCCAAACATTTAGACCAAGTTGGGGATTTTAGTTTGTCACCCTAAAATCTCTAATTCTACACCCATAAAAACTTATTTTCCTATTTATTTGCACTTAACCTCAAGGACTACATTCTCATCCATGAGGCTAAATGTGATTCTTACAATGTTGGAACATAGCCCATTTCGGGTCAGTATGCTTTAAAATAGTTTTTAACAAATCAATTGGCCAAATTGACAAGTAAATTAGGCATAGATTTTAAATCATCACAATTTATGGTACTTTAAAAACACTTCTACTAAACTACATTCCTACACATAATTATTCCTCATTGCAAGTCGAAAGATAAAGGAATCTACTCAGATCTCATGGGGAAGAAACAAAAACACATGGATTTATAGATAAATAAAAGCTTACAAGACAAGACAAAGTAAAATAAACATAGTACACAACTTACTTAAACTTCTTCCCAAGCAATCCTTCAAGTTCCTTTAAATCACTCACTCTCCTCACAATTTCACTCCAAACTTACTAAAAATCTGTAGTGAAGAAGATATCTCTCACTTCTCGTTTTTTCCTACAAATCCAATCAAACCTCTAAGATTTTCTCCTCTCTAGGAAGAATCCACTTCTCTTCAAAACACTCCCTTTTCCTCCTCAAAAAATCTCCTTTTTTGAATCTTGAGAAGTCTCTTTAAATAGAGCTCTCAAAATCCTCAAGAGTTTCTTCAAGCTTCTTTTCAAAATTTGTCCAAATTCAATGGATCTTTTAGATAACCATCTCTGGTACATAGGCGTCAGAACAACATTGGCCTTTTTGCTTCATTTGACTCCAATTTGCTCTCGTACCATTTGTTCTATTTAGTGTACCTACAATAAAAAAACATCAAAATCACCTTTCACTAAAGCACAATATCATTAAAAATAGGCATTAAATGTGAAAATAAAAGCAACATATTTTAGGTATGTCAAAAGCCCCCAAACTTGATTGTTACTTGTCCTCAAGTAACTTATTTCTTTTGAAAAATATGTTAACATGTTTTAATATGTGGTAGTGGGTTTCATTAAATACCTCTATAGTTTTGACCTATAAATGTGGTAGGCATGATTTTAGAAAAATCTTAATAATTCAGGTTAGAAATAAGGCATAAGAATATTTTGTATTTAAGTCTAGGAATTCTAATTCTTCTATTCATTTCAAAAATTAATTGTAGTTTGAAAAGCATAGAAGTCTCAGAAAAATAACAGATAGAATTTGATAGAACTCTAATAGTAAATGTGAACTAATACTGTAAGAAAATAAAAGCTAAGAACTATAATAAAGTCTTTTTTTTAAATGATTCAAGTGAAGCAAATTTTTAATAAAACATCCCCTCAAGCTTCTCCTCAATTTGATATATACTTTTCTTTTCTATCTTTTTTTTCTTTTCCTTTTTCTTTTTACTTTCAGGATCATTTTTAATCATTTCTTTTCTTTTTCTTAGTAAGGATTACTATATCTGGATTAACTTTTAATGATTTTGAACTTCACTATCCTCATTTTAAAGTTAAAAATACATCACATTTCTTTACTTTGATAATTTGCATTAGTTTTCAAAAATGATTTTTTTCATAGAGTCACATTTCTTTAAAGTATAGATCTAAGATCCTCAGTATTTCAAAAGACAATTTCTTTTCTATTTTAAAAAGTAAATTTATATTCCTATTATGTTTTACTTAATATTTTAATTCTTAGAACTAATCTTTATCTCCACAAATTTACTTAAGTCTACTACAACATCTATAGAATAAAAAAAAATATAGTTATTTGAAAATAACACCACATACCCCATATTACTTCAAAAAGATATTTTCTTTGAATATAGTTTCT